AAAAATATGGACCATTTAGTAATCCTCTCGAGTATGTAATATTTCCTAGTTTTACATATGTGCCCTAATGAGGCAGATAGACCCTCAAAATTAATTTTTATTTTATTTCAAAAAAAAAAAAGAAGCTTGAAGTTTTGTGCCATGTTTTTTAATTGACAAAAGAAGTCAAAAAAGGAGAAATTTGTACTCCAATTTTCATGGCAATTCACTCCTCCATGAGGGTGGAAGTCCACATTGAGAATTTTGGAATTCCTTATAAGGTGGGAAACATACCAGGCTTGGGATGGGCCAATCCTAGGCCTGGCCCTCTTAGTGTTGGGACAGGCCAAAAAAAAAAAACAGAAGACAGCTGGGCCCGACCAAACTAGGCTAACATTGGTTCTAACCCAGCCCTCATACCACAACTTGTGACCCATCACTACTTTTTAAGGGTTGGGCCAACTAAGCCAGGACGGGCCGCCTGACCCTTTGCCAGCCCTATTCCCATATACCAAACTAAAAAATGCTGCAACTTTTCAGATATTTTGGCATCTGGTGACCAAATTTCTTGTTGCCAAACCCCCCTTTACTTTCCCATTCCATCTACAGTGATACAACATGCTAACAACGTAAGAAGGGGTACTAGAGCCAGTATTATAGCTGATGAAAAATGAAACACGAAAAAGAGAAGAATAATATTTTTACATATGATGCCACCCACGTGTAAAATATATGTGACAAATATCCTCAATTGTCCTAGTTTTCGAGTATCCATAGTCTCCTGATGTGGTGCTTTATTTTTTAACCCTAAATACAAAAGGAAAAATATCGTATAGACCCCCAATTTCTAAACTTATTGTGTTATAGCTCCTTCCAACTTTTCTCTTTCAAAGTTGTATTCCAACTCATGCCTTAGAGAAATGTGTGTGAGAAGAGAGAGATGCATTTCGTTCTCAAGTACTACTTATACAAAAGAAGAGAATTTCATTTCATACATGGATCAATTTCTCATCTTGAGAGTATTGCATAAAAAAGTTTGAATTTGGGAGTTTATTATATGCACCAAAAAAAAGTGGTGAGTGTTTTTCATAGAGGATGCTTAGGTTGTCCGTACCATCACATGTAAATATATAATGTTGTGTGTGACAGAAAAAAAAAGTTCAATAAAAATCAAACAATTAGTGATGCAGGAATGTAAGTTATCAATCCATAACAGCATTAAACTTGTCTAATGTTTTGTTAGGTTATCAAACCATATCACAGTGTGAGTGCTGATTCATATGGAAATTGGTTTGGACTGAAATGGTTTCGAGATGGTATGAGTCCACGCTTAGTTTTCCCCGATAACCCTGTATTTTTTCTCTCTCTTTAAGCTTGTCTAATGTTTTTTTATTTCCCTTTTAAATTCCCACCCATAAAGCTCTAATCTGACATGGATATGTAGGTGAATGATCCAATCCATATGTGTATACCTATACTATGCATGGGCCAAGGGGACAAGAGAAATATTTGGTTTGCTTCTTCTAGTTTATTTGCTGACCCAGTGGACCAGCCTCTCAAATGGTACAACTTAGATTCAAGTGTCCCTTGCCCATTAAGGGACATACAACATTGAACCCATGCCTCAAATGATTAAAAATCTGACCTTTTCACCACATGACTTTGGGGACACTCTTTGTGGGGTATTGCCTACAATAGATGATAGATGACCCTTGATCTGCCCTACTGTGGGGAGAATACGTGACATTTTGCGTAAATGGCAATGTTTTGCATGGATGTGTACTGAATACATCCATGTTATATTTCGCTTTTTAAGTTTGGAAAAAGTTTAGGTAAGGGCGAGGCCCTAAACAATTAAAAATTAAAGCGCACCTTAAAAAGCTCACTTTGAAGAAGAAGTTTCGTTATTGAAAAACCCTCAACTCGATCATCTCGACCACAAGATGTATGGATATGAGAAAAAATAGATTTCAAGTATTGAAAATAGTACATCATGTAATATATTATTTAGACTGTCAATTTTCAATATTTTCAAGTGTTCTTAGATCTGCTCTATCTACATTAATTTTAAATATTTAAATTTTATAATTAGAGATGAAATTAAATTTTCAAGTCATCCAAAAGATTTTTGATACTGAAACAAAATATTTTGGCACTATTTGAAAGTCCGCCTTACTTTGATTGTTTAGGGCCTCAGCCTTATACAACCTCACCCTTTAAGTTTTAAGGGATGTGCTTTAGTTTGTAGCCAATGATTTTTTGAGCATATGTTGTTCATTCACTCTCTTGGTTAAAACTCTGCATACGATTGTTTTGAGAACCCTAATTTGAAGATGCAAGGCTCTCAACTTAGCGACCAACTTTAAAAAAGGAAAAAGAAAATCACATGCATTCCATTCTTAGAAAGAATAATGTTCCAAGATCAATGGAAACTTCCCATTTTTTGGGTAGACGGAGTTAATTATTTTGAAACTAAATCAATTTTTTTGTTTAAAAATACTTGTATGGTAATTTTAAAGTAAATCTAAAATTTTTAAAGGCACATTTGGTTCACGTGAAATTGTTTTTTAGAAATCATTTTCACATGAAAAATTATCTCATGCAGTCAAGTGTGAGGAATATTTCTATACTAATTGGTCTCAGTAGAAAGTAATCGATATAAAATTATTCTCATACTTGACCGCATGAGATAATTTTTTCATGTGAAAATGATTTATAGAGAATAATCTCATGCGAACCAAACGTGCCATAAATGTAAATGATTATCGTAAGTAGATGTTTTGTCCGAGGGAATAAGTGTGTGAGGTACATTTGAAGGAGAACCACAAATTTTTTTTTTTTTGTTGTAATTCAGTGGGGAAGACACATCCTACCTATTTTTTCAGACAGCTTAGGAGTTATTTTTTTTTTAAGGTATTGGTGTACTTATTTTTTCAAATGGTTTAGGAGTTATATTTTTTAAAGTATTAATAGTATGATGTCAATCGGAATAAAAATCACAACGTGATGACTAAGGTGAGGGGGTGCTACCACCGCCTCTTTTTTTGAAACACAATATATTCTTCCAATGAGGAAGGGGATTACTATCAAGAAGAATGTCATAACATGTTACTTTGAAGTTCTAAATAGGCTTGTAATGATGTTTGATCTTATTATTGGAAAATTTATTTAAAGAATTATGACTCATGAACGTTGAATTATTTAACATTCTATCCATATTTTTTTTTAAACTTCAAAATACATATATAGGTAAAATGTTGAATAGTTTATTTCTCATACGCATTCTGATAAAATCCCCCCTTTCCATTCCATAGTAGATGGGTGGTTGAATTTTGGACAAAATTTGTATAGAATCCTAATTTCTCATACTATTTATGGTAGATCCTCATTTCGTTTTTCTTTCGAGCGGCATAAGTAAACCCCTAAAGATTTCACCCTATCTTTTTATATATTATCTCCCTCGTTTATTGATTTTTGATCATAAAAATTAGCTCTAATAAATATTTTTGTACCATTTCAACCCAAAAATGTTTTTAATAGGTGGAAAGGGGAACAGAAGGTTAAAAAAGTTTTTAGAATAAAATGATATAAAAAGATTTATTAGGGTTAATTTTTATGATAAAAAATCAATAAAAGAGGGTGATGAGGGGTACGGTGAAATCTTTGAAGGTTTCCTTAAGAGAAAAATAAAAAGAGGGTCTACTGTGAGGAACTAAGGTTTTATACGAATTTTTCCCTTGAATTTTTCCTCGTACTCATTTCAAAAGTAATTTTAATTGTGCAGGATCAAAGTAAGGAGTTTGTAAATGTGAGTACATATTTTGGTGGGTTAAGTAGAGATGACAACTTATAAACTAATGCGTCATATATCAGATTGAGGCTCGGTCTCGCAAGGGTTTGAATCCAATTCCCCCTATTTAACTTGGGTGAGTTCGAGTTGGGCGATACAGTGAACCAGAGTTGGATTGAGCTATATTTAAATTTTTTTTTTTTTTATTATTATGCAACCTCGTGTTTCTTTAGCATGGGTTAACTATTGATCCTGTCCAACACTAGCAACTCATGAGTGAGAGAGGCAATTTTTAGAACACTCCCATTTAGTGAAGTTGGGGTGTTTGATCCACATTAAGAGGATGATAATCGCTCAATTAAAGGGCAATTCTAGGGAATAAAAATTTTTTTTGAAAACGTTTAACCCAACAAAAATTAGGAGAAAATTTGAAGCTAGTTTGTTGAACCCAAAATTTTGACCACATTTAAGCCAAGTAAAATCTTGGCGGTGACCCTTTATAAAAAGAAAAAATTTATATAAGGGCACAATTTTAAAATATAGAATTAAAGTGCATCTAAAAAATTTATCATAAAAAATTGTTTTGATCTTACAACACACCATCTGGACCGTTTATTTTCAAGTGTTTATAAATTTACATAATTTGAATTATTTATGATAAAATTTAAAGGTGTACTTTAATTTGATCGTTTAAAGTTGCAACTTTATACAAACCATACCCAAATTTTTTTATTAACTTTCGTTTATGAAATTAGAAGATAAGATTTGGCGCCTCTTCCTAAAATTCCCTTTCCAAGCAAGACTTCTAATATGAAGGGTATTCTAGATATTATAGGAATAAATAATCGGGTTTCCAGTCATTTGTATCTAGGGCTTCAACACCCGCGATCATTTTGAAATTCAAAACAACTGAAAGATGCAATCGCCGTCAAATTGACGGCGAACCCCAGACTGCAAACGGCGCTTTCCCGCTCTGGCCCTGCTCACCGTTGGGAGCCGTTAACGCAAAGAGGATAAATACGCTCTTTTCCCTCCTGTTTCCCCCATTTCTCTCACTGCACTCGCCTCTCTCACTAAGACCAAACCCTAACCCCAAATCTCCATCTCCCGATTTTCAGAAAGCCTAACCCTAATTTTGTCTGAAGACGAACATCATTTCCCCTATTCTTCTCCACCAAACCCTAGATTCAGTCTTCCTCGAGCTTTCCTCCATTAATTTTCCTCTGCGAAAATGCGTGAAATCCTGCACATTCAAGGTGGTCAGTGTGGTAACCAGATCGGTGCTAAGTTCTGGGAAGTTGTTTGTACAGAGCATGGTATTGATTCAACTGGTCGCTACCATGGTGACTCAGATCTGCAACTCGAGAGAGTGAATGTTTACTATAATGAAGCGAGTTGTGGAAGGTTTGTTCCGAGGGCTGTGCTCATGGATCTGGAACCGGGTACCATGGATAGTGTGAGATCTGGGCCTTATGGCCAAATTTTCAGGCCTGATAACTTTGTTTTTGGGCAATCTGGTGCTGGAAACAACTGGGCGAAGGGCCATTACACTGAAGGAGCAGAGCTTATTGACTCCGTCCTGGACGTTGTCAGGAAGGAGGCTGAGAACTGTGACTGCTTGCAAGGCGAGTTTTCTTGTGTATTATGTTTTTCTTTTTTGTAGTTTTTTTGTTATGTTTTTCTTTCATTTTCTTGTTTTGAGGTTTTTTCTCCACTCTTGGCTTCTTTGTGTTTGTTTTCATGTTTTGTATCATTTCCTATTCGTGATTTACTATGGCGTTGTGGTACTTTACTCTGGTTTGAATTTTTATGTGACGAATTCTTCTAGTTTTTTCTTTTACTGGGAAAATATTACGGGATTATGGACATTTCTTCTTAATTGTTTAAAAATTTCATTTCTTTTCCGTGGTTCAGACCAAGTTTGTTTTCTTGGTCTACTTTCTGGATCTGCATTTTTTAATATGCGCCCAATATACTTACTCTTCCGCATTTTTGGTCACCAACTTCCTTGGTTTTCCTTTATTTTCCCTTCTTGTGTTATTGATATACTCTTCTTGATCGATCTGTACACGAGTGGATTTCTGCATGATTTTGCTGGTTGATCTAGTTGTTTTGTTGTTGAACATTTGAATTTTAGTAGTAAATGGTAATTACTAAGTGTAAATTTCTTTTTGTTATGTCGAAATTTACTTGCTCAATGCAAATGATTTATTTTATTTGGTATTTAATGTGTCTTGTATGCCTTATGTTTATGGGATTAATATGGATTATTTAACAAGCTCCTGTACCATTTTGTATTTTTGTTGGTTGATAATTTTTCTTTTTACTTCTTTATCCAATTTTCTCTACTACTCCAATGGCCTTCCAGAACTTATGATCACTAGATTTTTATTATTTTAGTTTGATCCATATTCTCTTGAAATTTTCCCTTCATGATTTTCTACCCAATACATAATAAGCAATTTGTTTAGTTTTTCTGATTCCCAATCTCGTCCATTTTGAGAACTTATCTGTTCCTTGTGTTCAATGTCCTTTGTAACTCTGTATTTCTTAAACTCAGATATCTAACCCTTCCTGTTCCACGATTATTGCATACTAATCTTGACATACGAGTTTATTTTTATTTTTATTCTCAAATTTTCTTTCGTTCTTACATTGACTGCAGCTTCTAATAAGCCATTTGTGTTCTATTATATTTTCTCTATACTTCCTTTCTCTCAAGGACACCTCCGTATTTTTGTAATGCCCCTAGCAAATTTTGTTAATAGCCATTTAATAGACATCCTATCCTCATGTGGTTGTGCACACATGTAACAGGTTTTCAAGTTTGTCACTCTCTGGGTGGAGGAACTGGCTCTGGAATGGGCACCTTGTTGATCTCTAAGATCAGGGAGGAGTACCCAGACAGGATGATGCTCACCTTCTCTGTGTTCCCTTCACCAAAGGTCTCAGACACTGTTGTCGAGCCATACAATGCCACTCTTTCTGTGCACCAGCTTGTGGAGAATGCAGATGAGTGCATGGTCCTTGACAATGAAGCTCTCTATGATATCTGTTTCAGGACCCTCAAGCTCACCACTCCTAGCTGTAAGTTACACTTTGTATTCCTATTATTTATCTTGTATAGTCCCCATGTTATATTGTATACTGGTGGCTTAATTTGGGTTTCGAGCATTACTCTTTAAAAGAATTGTTAGTTTCCTCTTATGAAAACTAGATTACAATTTTATCCTTTTGTTTTTTTTAATGATTTGATTTGATAATGTTTCCTTCTTCATAGGTCTGGCACTTTCTGAAATATTTTTTATGCATGGCTCATGTGAGCTCTGTGGAATGTTAGATTTCATACTCTGATTTTCTCTGTTTGAACATTTTTGGAATCAAATTTTAAATCCTGAGATCAAACCTATTTTATTTTCCACACATTTCGTTGATATTGCATGCCCTTGTTTTGTTTCTTCTTTCCCGGGGCTGGATTTTTGCTTTTAATTGAAGAAACTAAAGAGATCTATCTCAACCTCATCTGTGAATGGTGTTTCAATTAGCCTGAAAATCGGGCTTTAAACCATACCCTGCAAAAACATTTGGCAAACATCATGCTGATTATTTTTGGCTGTTTCCATAGCTGAATGCATACACATTTCATTTTTGTTGCCACTTTTTCTATGCCATGTTTGTTCTTTTTCTTAGCAATGAAGTCCTCTCTCCCTCTCTATTTACTTTGCAGTTGGTGATCTAAACCACCTGATCTCGGCCACCATGTCTGGTGTGACCTGCTGCCTCCGTTTCCCTGGGCAGCTTAATTCTGACCTGCGTAAGCTGGCTGTGAACCTCATTCCCTTCCCTCGTCTCCACTTCTTCATGGTTGGCTTTGCCCCCTTAACCTCCCGTGGTTCCCAGCAATACCGAGCCCTCACTGTCCCTGAACTAACCCAACAAATGTGGGATGCCAAGAACATGATGTGTGCTGCCGACCCCCGCCATGGTCGATACCTAACTGCCTCTGCTATGTTTAGAGGCAAAATGTCCACTAAAGAAGTCGATGAGCAAATGATCAATGTCCAAAACAAGAACTCCTCTTACTTTGTCGAGTGGATCCCTAACAATGTGAAGTCAACTGTTTGTGACATCCCACCGACTGGGTTGAAGATGGCGTCAACTTTTATTGGGAATTCTACTTCGATTCAAGAGATGTTCAGGAGAGTTAGCGAGCAGTTTACTGCCATGTTTAGGAGGAAGGCTTTCTTGCATTGGTACACTGGTGAGGGAATGGACGAAATGGAGTTTACCGAGGCTGAGAGCAATATGAATGATTTGGTGTCTGAGTATCAGCAGTATCAGGATGCAACTGCAGATGAAGAGGGAGAGTATGATGATGAAGAGGAGGAGCCCCAAGAGGTTTAGTGAGTTGAGAGAGCAGGTCTTTCCTCCCTCTCTCTCTCTCTCTCTTGTCTCTCTATAGTTTGTTCCCCAGGATGTGTTACACTTGTCCCCCCCCTCTCTCTCTTCATACTGTGTGGGATTGAGTGCAACATCCAGTTGCTGAGGTTTGTGCTTGAGCTTTGAGGATTGACATTGTTTAGTTGGGTTTTTTTATAGTTGCAAACTCAGTTTAATTTTCTTTTTATTCTGTTTTTTTTTTCTTTTTGGGAGAAGTTTATGGTTGTGTTGTTACTCTACTACTTTTGGGGCAATACTGTTATAGTGTTAATTTGGGGCTGAACCTGTTGGTTTCAAGTTTTTTTTTGTCTTCCTTTTCATGGATATGTTGAACTCATATTCCAAGATTCTACTTGCTTCTCTCTCTCTCTCTCTCTATATGCAATGTGTTGAATGCTGAAGATCTGTTTGTTGCATGTGTGTACTTATTTTTCATATATGGACGGGGATGAATTCCAGAATGCCTATGGCTTTTTCTTACTTGCTTTTCCCACTGAGGATTCCTAGTGGCTTTTGCTGCTAGTCCATGTGGAAAAGATTCTCTCTCTCTCTCTCTCTTCCCTGCATGTGAAAGAAGGTTTTCCTGACTGCAATTTGGAATCATTCAATTATACCATGCAATATGTGGAATGCCTCTGAGTGTTACCTGTCAATAAAGAGAAGATTCTTCAGCAGAAAGAGTTCACCTGCTTGGTTGGTGATAAAGGTCTCAACAAAACCCACTGAAAAGCGGATTAAGATCTGAACATCTGTTACTGCCTTATTTGGTTCATTCGGTGGCAATGATTTTGCTTTAAAACACTCTTATTCTCCTTCCATGTGGAAGGAGATGCCTTCGCTTTGTTGCAGCCTGCTTGGTTCTCTCTGTGTATGTGCATTTGGACTCTCTCTCCCCCCATGTGAATGGAGATTTCTTTTGCTGGCATGAGGTGGATGCCTCTGGGAATAAACTGTCTTCATATGGATAATCTACAAAGGGCATAAAGACTATCGTTTTTTTCAATGTGAGCCATATCTGAAAATTTTTAGATGAAATCTTGCGTTTGTTTCTGGTAGATCAGCTCGGTTTGCAGTTGTCTTACAATCCAGTCAATGGTTTGGTTGAAGAAATTCAGTAGAATTTGCTGATAGGGTAGTTCAGTGGAAAAGAAGTCCCTTTTTCATGATAGGAATGGAATGGAATTTAAGACCTGCACCTTATTGTCTTGAACAATGAACACTTGCTTGTGACTTTATTTTCAATTTTTGGAACAAAAAGTAAACATTACACAACAAACAGAAAGAGAATTGTACAAATGGATTTAATCATACTAACATTCTTATTTGCATTCCAAAACAGTGGTGCCTGCGTTGCCATGAACAATAGTGATAGTTGTCATATTTTATGAAAGCCATGCGAGTAGCTCACGTGAAAGGTTAATTGCAGTCTTGAGGTTCAACCAAAGTACATGGCTACCTGTCTCACACCACTAGTGTAATTGTTAGCAAGGCGTCATCCCTCTCTCTCTCTAGAAAAAGGTGTATCCCGGCTGTCTTTCCCCATGTGATTATGCTTGGCCTTTCTATTTTGCTCCTCCTGCATTCTCCATTAACTAAACTGACTCCCCCCCATATTTCTCTCCCATCCGGTGCACATCTCATCCAACATCATCTCTCTCAGTGCACATCTCTCTCTCTCTCTCTCAGAGCGCACAACTCATCTCCAATAATCTGAATGGTCCAGGGTTCCATACCATGAGCCACTCACTGAACATCACCATAAACATCAATGTTGGGATTTATGGTGGATTGGCAGAAAGAACCATGCTGGTTCCAGGTTTTGAGACCAGCGATATTCCATAATTTTGCCTTCTGTTTCAATTTAAGTAGAAAAAAATATATATATGAGAGAGAGTCATATACTTAATTCTATTTGGAATACCGCCACACAAAAAAAACAGTGATGCTCAATATGGGTATCAGCTTTGCAGGCTCAATGATTTCCAAATTATTTCAAGATCAACATTCCCTCCTGAAAGAACAATCACGATGTTTTTGCATTGATTCAATGTTGGCATCTCTCTAAATTGCTGTGACAGAACAGCAGCAAGGCCAACAGCTCCACTAGGTTCCACAGCTACTTTCAGTATCTCATAACACATTCTCATGGCTTCCACAATTTCACCTTCCTCCACTGTGATCACTTCGTCCACCAAATCTCGAACAATCGGCCTGGTTTTCATTGATGGTTCATATTTTTCAGGGTCAATCTTTATGAATAAAAAGGATATCACGTAAATGGAACTATAATAAATACACAAATGGACAAGTGAACAAATTCAGTTAAGTTGAGCTAACGTGTGTGTGTGTGCAAGAGAGAGCGAGAGAGAGAGCATGTTGAATTACAACCAAAATAGATAGATCAGAGGTTGCTAAGATTTAAGCATAAATTTACCAGGTTAGATCACCAAGATGAGCTCTCAGTCCATCTGCAATAGTATGGGTTTGAGCCAGTGTCACTATCTTTCCTGCTGCTTTGGATTGCGCAACATCATCTGCCCCTGTAGGTTCGGCTGCAAGTATCCGAATTGAGGGGTTCATGGCCTTGGCAGCCAAGGCCACCCCCGAAATCAAACCCCCTCCTAAAATTTTCAGAGGGAGAAATCAAAGTGAAGCAACTTCAAGTTTCAAACATGTTAAATGAGAACTTGAGACTAGAGAGAGAGAGATGACTTCAGTGAGAACGAACCACTTATTGGAACAACTATTGTGTCCACCATGGGTACTTGCTCCAGTAACTCCAATGCTATCGTACCTTGGCCACTAAAAGCATTAAAAAGCATATCAACAGTTGATTGTGATCACAGATTAAGTGCAAAAAAGAAAGTGTGAAAAATGGGATGGATGGTTTTTTTGGTCCCTAAAGATGTTAAGCATATTTTCACTTCTAAAATGAAAGGAAACAAGAATAAGGTCTTCCATGTGTGGGTTAGCCATTACTGTAATCTGACAAAGCAGCAGTATATGCCTATTTGATGATCATATATTTCATGCAGGTTCTTAGCATTTACATGATAATAATTTAAAGATGTAAGGATCAATCTCGTTGTGCATCTGATAATTTGCAGACATTTCTTTTACTGAGAAAAGCAGCAAACTATGAGGCGACCAGTGAGATTGAGATTTCTTTATTGAATTGGTAATTGATAATACCCATGTAAAAATTATCAAATTGGTAATTGATGATACCCAAATGAAAATTATCTCCTTTGCTCTGTTCTCCATTACCTCAGGGCCAGTTTGTATAGCACACTTAAGTCGCCAAACCAAGCCACCATCTTGGGAATAGGGAAATACAGGTTTTCAAGGTTTTACCCCATCCACAATATATCCAGTGTTTACATACTAATGAGAAAATTTTCTTTTTCTAAACATGCTATTAGTTAGCACCATAGCTTGAGATATGTAAGGTTGGTTCATTGTCAAGGATATTATACTTCCTAAAGGTCTTTGTGTGAAGAAGGTTCATCATTTATATCTCAGCTACAAGATGCCAACTTTTATTGATAATCAATGCTGATTTATAATTTTTCTCAGTTGAGTACAAATGATTTACATCAATATGAATAAAAGGAAAAGTTTGTAAGTGCTATTCAACAAGGATCACAAATGGCGACGATGCCAGTAGTGCAGTGTGTATATTGCTTAAAACGTGGACCAGGCAAAAATTGGCAATATTTATTTTTCCTCTTCAAAAGAAACAACCAAGTCAAGGCATATAGAGAAAACAACAAAGTAAATGACAAGAATTTTATGCATACAAGTGAAGTTGATTATGAAGGAAAAATCAATTATCTTGCCAAAATATATTATTGTTAGCAGAACCAATGGTCCTAGACCTCATAAATTAGGATAGAAAACCACCAGAAATTGATTCTTGGTTAACACACCATTGAATGCTTGATCAACTTCAAAAGGGCATAGTGTCACATTCCAGTTAATGATATAAATTTCTACATGGATTTCTCAATTTTTTAAAAGAACTTAGCATGGGAACCAGAAGATAGTTCTCAGGTAATGTATTATTCAATGCTTGATCAACTTCAGAAGATCTTAGTTGTGCCTTGCAGTCCCCTAAAAATCTTGGATGTTCTTTGTGTATTTCTGAGTATTTTTCTTAAATTCGGATAAAAAAAATGGCGACTTATGGCTAGAGTCATAGTGCACAGCATATATTGCTAGTTTCATGTGGTTGTCACTAGTAGAGACCATTCCCCAAGTCTAGCAGGTTCAATTATACGAAAACAAGAACAAGGTTTCCTTGGAAAAGGAAAACATATAGGTTGAATATGGTTTTCATTTGGCTAGTTCTAGTTATATATGAATGTCATGGTTCTCTTTGCCTCTATTATAACCCACTCCATCTAGTATAATACGCTTTTCCATGTAACATCTTAGAAACAATTGAAGGTTGTATTAGGTAATCTATGAACTCGGCATATTCTTGAATCCAATCAATCCACATAGGATTCCGTAAATCAACTTTTCTTTAGTCAGGCTATATTAGTAAATCAACTGTTCAAGGGTCATCACAGGAACCTTGCATGATATCTAGTTTGAAGAATTGTTTAAAAATAAGTACATAAATTAATATGGCACATCCCAAAAACTTAAAACTCAAAAAAGTAAAGGTACGTACCTTATAATGCGGCCATCATTAAATGGGTGAACCAACAAGGCACCAGTTTCATCTTGCACCTTTGCAGCAGTGCTCTCCCTTGACTGCATTGTGGGCTTGCTCCAAATAACATGGCCATCATAACGTTTGACATTCTCAACCTTACATTTTGGAGCATTTTTGGGTATAACAATATAAGCTGGTATTCCTCGTAGCTTTGCTGCCAAAGACACCGCCGCGGCATGGTTACCACTATATGAAACACCCCAGTTACAAATATGATAAGAAAGAGGCAATAATAAGTACAAAGAACATGGATGCTTAGATCCATGCATCAAGATTTTAGCTGGTTTTAAATCTAGGCAAAACAAATTTTGGTTTAAATTGGGCATTTAGGTTGGCAGCAAGTAGGGCAAGGGCTGGAACTTAGCGATTCCTGTCCAATAATGAATTGATTTTTTAATTCAACAGACTGAGTTTCTTTTAACAAATGGGCCAAAATTCAGAATCCATTTTTTGTAACTTCTGTTCAAAAGTCAAATTAGGGGAAATTTATTCACTACATATTTGGCTTTTCTTAATATCAATACTTTATAAGGATTTGCTCACAGTAAGTGCACACAAGTTTCCTACAGTGCCTTCATGTCAACCTAGCCATCCAGTGTCAATAGCAGATGGCCAGGGTGTGTCGCTCCTCTGGTCGAATTCTGTCATTTGTTTAAGGGACTTTACATGAGGAATGACACACCTTAACCATCCCTTGCTGATATCTGACAGCTGGGGTAATGTGAAGACACCATAGGAGTCTTTGATTCTTACTGAATATTTTCCCATTTCATATTTCACTAAAAATAGACAGGAACGGAACAGATCAAGGACTTCAGGCCCATAAGCTTGTTGAACAACAGCTACAAAATCCTTCCAAAATTCCTGGCATCTCTCTTTGGTAGTTACTAGACCAAGGGATCGCCTTGCCGCAGAGTGCCTTTGTCAAAGCTCATCAAATCCTAGATGAAGCCTTGGTAGCTCATGTGTGTATCAACACATGGTTTTGCTTGAAGAAGCCAGGAATCATTTAGAAATTGGAAAATATAAAAATCCTATGATCATTTTAGATGGCCAAAATGTCAAAAGCCTAGGATCATTTTAGATGGGTATTCTTAATCAATTAACATGCTCAACGGGATTCCCAACAAAATTGAGATCAATGTTCATGGTATCTCGATAACCCATTATTTTGGTCCTTATAAATGGTAGACTGCGAGGCTATTTCAACTCTACTAGGGGAATCTGACATAGTGACCCATTGTCTCCATTCTTATTTGCCATTATTGCAGACAGCTTTGGTAGATCTATCTAGCACCTCTATCAACAAGGCTTGCTGGAGGATTTTAGTACCCTCATATAATGAGCCAGTCATATCCCATCTCTTATATACCAACGACACTCTGGTGTTTTGTGATGCGTCCCCATGGCATATTTACAAAATTTGGTTGTTCCTTGAGTGTTTCGGGTCAAGCACTGGTCTACACATGAAAATATCAAAGAACAAGTTTTGGGGTAGGAGGGTCTATGGCTGATCCACCAAACCCATGTTGTCATCTTAGGTGTGTAACAGACAAACTAAAAACAAGACTAAAAAATTACCATTTTGTGTCAGAAAACCCCATAAATCACTATTTGGAATGATCGCTTTCTTTCATGTGAGGTAGAATAACTTCAATCAAAGCCACTTTATTCAATATACTAGTATATTACATGTTAGTCTCCAAAATGCTCATGAATATAGTCCATGAGATCAAGAAAATGATCTGATAACTACTGCAGAGCTGGACAGAAGCAGCCACGAATTTCACGTGGTTATTAGGAGGAAGTATGCAGGACAAAGAGAGAAGGAGGTCATGCAGTTGGAAAATTCAAAGGACAAAACACCGCTTCTTGGAAAAATAGCGTTGGCGCTTTGCAAACTACCAAAATCATCTATAGCAACAAGTCATCAAACATAGTTATGGCACTCAAATGCAACAAGGAGAGAACAAAGACTATTCTCAAGGATGTGGAAAGGAATTCCCTCCACATACGTTTATGAAGAAAGGGAATGGGTTAAAAAAAAAGAAGGGTAAGTCAGTGGGGATTTGGGCCCCTACTCTTTGGTGAGAATGGAGTCAGAGATTTCATCATAGGGTTTGTTGGTACTACCGCAAAGGCCCCAACCCATTCTCAGAAAGGGAATGGGTTAGTTGTTGGAAAGGTGTATGATCCAAGATTGTACGGTGGAATCAGAGTTTGTTACTGGCCAGAAATCGCAAGATGCAAATAGTGAGTGTGATTGATTGCCTGGGTGGCAGCAAATATGGACACCGACTTTCAGGTAAAACCTTTGTTATGAGAAGACTTTGGTGCTGCTAAACTTGCTTGAGATGGTCAGATCCTGCTTCATTCCTGACCATGGTGTGGACAAACTAATTCGGGGCCAAAACGTCTACGTCAACATCAATGTCAATGTCAACTTTTAGGTTTCATCTTTCTACAATGCACTATATACTACAGACCAAAGGCCAGAAATTGCTACGTTGTACGGTCTATTCCTGGCACCTCAAAAGTACAGGCCTTTTACTGGCTGTCATTTCCAAAAAGGCTCTGACCTGGACCATATTAAGAACAGGGCAATACTCCGTCCAAATTAACGTGCCATGTGTTTGGAGGAAGAGGAGATTGTAGACCATCTTTCTCTCAACATTGTAGTTTTGTAACATGCATCTGATCTTTTGTCCTTGGCCTGTTTGACATGGGTCTGCCTCGCTCCCTCGATAACCTACTTCTATCATGGATATCTCCCCCTTTTCTTGCCATTCGAAGGCTGCTTTCGTGCATCAATGTCTTAGCCGTTATCTAGTGCATTTTACTGGAGCACATTCAGCATATTTGGCTGTTTTCCAAGGAGTGGCTACCCAAAGAACAACACCATAGTCGAATCACGTCTTCAGTCATTTCCTGGGCCAACCTGAAAAGAATTTCTAAGTTTTTTCGCCAATCATGCTACAAAGCCAGTGAAAAAATGTCATCTGAACTATTTGACACAAACCACAGAACCCCTCAACTAGGATACCACCAAAACCAGGTCAAATCAAATTAATTTTTCACGGGGGACTAGAAAAGAAACCCAGGCGTTACAGACATTGGCAGGTTTTACTGAAATCATCAAGTACAAATCCTTCTTTCCTATTCCAGCCTGCAGAAGTCAGAGACTCATTGCATGTAGAACCAGGAGCTCTCTTAGCGGGTCTCCAACATTTTGACAGAAATTGGGGTGACAACCTCAGGATTGAGGGAACTTAAGCAAGCATTATCACATGGGCCACAAAACAGATCCTCTGCCCATGGAAATTTTACCAAGAGTTTAACAAAATTCAAGATTTTTGCACATGATTAATATCCAATTCTGGTATACAAAGTGAGAAGCAGATGAGCTCGCTGATGGCCTCACAAAAGAAAAAGCTCACTTGACTGTCACTCATGATCGCCATACACAATATCCCCATTATATAGGCAGGTTCATCAATGCCACAGTTTTACCCCAATTTCCTTTTCTTTTGCCTTTATCATTTTAATTGTTAAGGTTCAACACATGACTCAACACAATTTTTTATAGAGAAAATTATGCTTCTCATTTTTGTCGGGCCTTTGGGGCAAATCAGAAACGAGTACATTTCAATTTCATAAGGAAATTAAAGGTTATTTATCAAAAAGGAAAATGGGGACCTTGAGGTTGTTTCGGCCACCATATCCAAATTTGTCTTGGCAAGACATTGACATCAAAATTTAGGCAAAATGTCTCTGAAATGTAAGAAAACATGATGAACTAGGCATTCTCGAGAGCTTAAAGCGAACCTGCTGTGCGTTACGACCCCTTTAGCCGCTTGGTCATCCTGAAGTGAAAATATAGCATTGCAAGCACCTCTGAATTTAAAAGCTCCACTGGGCCGGGTATTTAGCAAGAAAAAAGTCCATAAATCAGAATGCAATAATGTAGATTCCCGTAATATATTTTCTAGCATACTTTTACAAATCTATAGAAGGGGAAAGAATCAGGTTTGAATTATCTTGTATCATTTTTGTGTAGAAGTCAGAGGTCAATGGATAACTCAGAGAAAAGGTAAAAGTGAGATAATAAAATGTCATGTTCATAATCTATATTGAATTCTTACCCCTTTTGAAATAACTCACACTTAAAAAACAATTTTCTCCCAGAGATAGAATCCAACGTGGAAGACGTGAGGACTGGAGTGGTGTGTATGTATGGCCCAATCCGAGTTTTAGCTTCTCTTATGGATTCTAGATCTGCAGCATAATTCTTTTGGGTGTGTGACAAATTATCTCCATCCATCTGCATTTATGAACAACGTAACTGCATCGTCTTTCATTAAAGAACATTACAAAATGAAAGACAGAAAAAAAGCAGAGTAACAACAAACAATATATCAAAATTTCTAAAGTACTATTCTCTTTCTTTCACTCTGAGATGTAGATATTATTTCTGGTGCTGAATTATTTGCAAGGTAGGGGGAGCCATGAGAACTTCCCTATTGTGGGAAAGGAGAAATACAAGGTGAAGGGCATTGACATTTGTTGAAGTGTACTATAACTCGCAAGCATTATGTTAAGGTGGTTGTCAAGCTAAGTCGAAGCAAGACATCATCACCGCAGAAATGGTCAAGATAGGAAGTGGGGCATTCATTGAACAACTCTTTCTGAGCAAGGTTGCAAGGGAAAGCTACGGCAAAATAGAGGCTATATTGGGGCCTCACATATTGTCGTGCTCAAAGTGGGCTGAGGTATGCAGATGAGTGGAGTATCTAAATTACAGAGTAGGTGTGACAACATAGGCATATGCTTTTGGGAAAAATTTCGTCAATGTAGAGGGAGAGAAATGTGAGGTGTCATTAAAAAAGAATAAACAGAACCACTGTATGCTTGTGGGCTTGTATACTATGGACCATTTATCTTTGTTACAAGGAGGTCACAACTACTCCAAGTCATTAGATGTCAAATTGGATGGCTTGAAATGTTTCATGAAGTTCGATAATTTTTTTTTGAACTTTGAGTCTAGTCAATGACATTCTCACAACCATCTGATTTGAAATTTGATGGGCGAGTAATTGTGACCTCCTCGTATGAAAAGTAAATGGTCTCTTTGTACACTTTTCCTATGCTTGTCAAATACATTATGAACCTTAATAGGCACAAGGCAAATGATGCTCACAAGTTAACTGGCCCTTGATCAATGTATGGGCAATTCGTCCCCAAAGATAAGATTGATATTTGAATACCAGCTGCACAAAGACATAATTTATGATTGAGATTCTTGTTCATAATGAGCAGCTCCAATGCAGAAAAGAAAGGGGAGTGTGAAACCTTATTTAAAGCCTTGTTTACAATCCCTTTTAAGGAATGCCAGCTCAATTTGAAACTAAAAGTGTAATTGCTTTCAATTTTTTTTATTAAATGACTTAAAAACACTCTGCAAAAGGTTGGAAGGAACCAAAAAAAAAAAAACACAAGACGAGAAGGTGGAAACACCAAGCAATTGTTTAAGAATCAAGGCTTCAATTGAGATTCATTGGGGTCCTAATCCTGAGTCACGCCATCCGACTTGGCTGAGTCAGAACAAGACGTGGCCAAGTCTGTTTAAAAAAAAAAAGAAAGTAAAAAAAATAGGTGAGATTCTTGGCAGTTCCTAGATTTTGCCTCCAGAATCGCCAGGGTTCCAGTTCTTTAATAAATGCCCCAAGCCATGGACAATATTGGAAAACTCCCCTTAAGCTAATTAGGTTTCTAACAGTATGGCTTCTTATGAGGCTCAGAATTCTGTATAGATGGTGTCATTTAAGTAGGAAAAAACATGTCTTGTCATTCATTTTCCACCAATTTTTATTTGTTTGATGGGTGGTGACTTTTATGTTTTTGTATTAATAAAATCATATTACACATCAATTTGCACCACTTAATTACAGTCCAAAGGGATCTTCAAGTCCAGTTGAAAGACCCAAACCAAAATTACCCCAACAAAATAGCGGGAATTTATCAAATACCCAAGAGATTAACTACTTAACATTTTACCAATTGCAACTATTCCAACTCATGATCATGTATCTTTTGATGGGTGTTTTCAAATTAAATCAAAAGATATAGGTAGAATGTTAAATAGTATATCTCCCATGGGTATTTGGATAAATTTCCCATTGAACAATTTCAGAGAAATTGACAATAACCAATAATATTCCATCAATTTTTGCGACCTATTAATGTTCATTTTTTGCAAAATTGTAAATATAGATGTATGCATTGCAGGATGAACTGTTGCATCCATTACAGGTCATCAGCTGGAATCCATCAAACAATAGTTTGAACACATTTTTCCTGTAACTACACTATAGTTCAAAATTAGCAACATAAAAAACTTAAAAAAGAAACCAATTCTTTTATGTCTTATTCTTCTAAATGGAATTATATGTCTTTTGGAATAAGGTTACGATCAGACAGTTGCACAAATAAATGTGCACCAAATTTCCCAGAAAAAAACACAAAATTCCACATTATCCTGCAAGTTACGCATTAATAAAACTAGGATTAGGTTCAAGCTCCGCAGAGATAGAAAGGAAGCTCTTTTACACCTACTGCGATAAATTTCCATTGTATATATCTTTAATGAGATAACTAATTTTGTCAGAGGATTAGTCAACCATCAATGTGCTCATAGGGATTAAGGGAAAAGGAGTAAGCACTTACATGATTCGTTGCAGAAATAATGCTTAGGGTTTACAGTGGCAATGGAGCAGATGCACCGTTAAACTGTGTATATATTTGAGAAATTTGAGCCCCATTTTCTCGTCCTCCTTATTTTTTCTGAAAGAAAAGGTTTGTGTGCGGCGTCGACCTTGTACTATTAAAGTAAGCCGCACCCCAAAACCACGGGTATATACTCTTAAGATGCTTAAAAAAAACTCTCAAATTGATCATGTCAACCTCGAAGTATGTATACATATAAATAAAACGGATTCCAATTTATGAAAATAATACATCTTGTAATATATATCTTGGACCATCTATTTTCAAAATTTGTAATTGTTTATAGATATACTCTACATCATTTTTTGAGATTTAAACTTCATAAGGGATTGTTTATAAAGAGTTCATTTATCTTTCGTACATCAAGATTATAATCATTATTGTTTCTTAAATTTCAAAATAGATGGTTGTAAGAGTGTATTGAATAGACACAAAAGTTCAAAAAAATCTTAATAATTAGCATAGTTTTGAGGTGCCACGGCTTTAATAATGGAAAAAATTATAAAATACCCTCAAAATAGACTTTCCAAGTATTTTACTCACCACTTAAGCTTTCCTAACAACTCCCTCCAAAACCTATGTTTCCTGGCAAAGACCTAATACAAAAAGTTATTTGTTTTTTAAGAAAATATCCTTCATTTACATAAAAAATCATTTTCGCCGGAGAGGGTAGTCGGTGTTTGGAAGAGGCGGTTTGGAGTTTGGAAGAGGTGGTCCGGTGATTATTTTGTTGGAATGGACAGTCTGGTGTTTCATTGTGGTGGTCCGGAGATTATGCTATTAGAAAAATGGGTAGCCTGACATTTTGAAATGGTAGTCCGGCATTTTGAAAGGGCAGTCCGACGTTTTGGCATTTTAAAGGGGTAATCCGATGTTTAGAATTTGTGGTCCTGCGCTTTGAAATTAGCAGTCTGGCGTTGTACAAGAGAGCTCCGGTGTTTCCTTTTATTGGGATCCAAAAATGATATGTTATGTATGAAAAAGGTATTTTTGTCAAAACTATTTGTATTGGGGGTATTTGCTACGAAACATGATTTTTGGAAGGAAAAGTTGTATTGGGGGTATTTGTTAGGAAACATGATTTTTGAGAAAGAAAGTTGCTAAGAAAAGTTAGGTAGGGTAAATTGATTGGAAAGTCCATTTTGGAGAGGTTTTTACAATTTTTCTTTAATAATTTTCATACTTAATACACGCTTCACCCTTTTTTGAAATACCTCCACTTTGGACATTGACCCTTTTCTGAAATACCTCCAATTTGGACATTGACCCTTTTCTTCTGAAATACCTCCGCTTTGGATATTGACCCTTCTCTGAAATACCCCCACTTTGGACATTGACGATCCAAGGTTCACACTTAATACACGCTTCACCCTTTTTTGAAATACCTCCACTTTGGACATTGACGATCCAAAGTTCACACTTAATACACGCTTCACCCTTTTCTGAAATACCTCCACTTTGGACATTGACCCTTTTCTGAAATACCTCCACTTTGGACATTGACCCTTTTCTGAAATACCTCCACTTTAGACATTGACCCTTCTCTGAAATACCTCCACTTGTGACATTGACAATCCAAAATGTCAGCTTCATGTATATATATATTTTTGGTGAAGTACCTCCACTTTTTATTTATTTTTGGTGAAATATCTCCACTTTGTACATTGATAATCCAACATTTTTTTTTTTTTTTTGTGAAATACAGAAATACCTCCACTTTGGACATTGATAATAAAAAATGACAGCTTTGGATTCTTTTTTTTTTTTTTTTGGGGTGAGTAAGTTGGGAGATGCCCCCTACCCATGATTGCAATTGAACCTAGAACGTAGAATTGCAAATCGTCAAGCGCTAACCAATTTTTGAGGTAGGCTCTTATTTAACTCTAAAAAGAGTGATTCTTTTTAGATTTCAAAATTAGGGATGTACTTAAGAATTATCAGATAATTATTTTTAGTAAATAGGATTTAGATTTGGAAAACGTTTATATAAGTGTGAGGCTCTAAACGATGAAATTAGGGTGAAAATTTCACTAGAAGAAGTTGTTTTGATGCATAAATATCATCAAGTTGAACATCTCGACCTCAAGATGTATGGACATGAGAAAAAAATGGATTTCAAGTTTTGAAACTAGTGCATCTAGTAATGAATTTTTGGACCGTCAATTTTCAAGATTTTCAAGTTTTCATAGATCTGCTCCACCTACACTAATGTTGAAGCTTTAAAATTCTATAATCAGAGATACAAATATATTTTAAGGCTATCACAAAGATTTCCAGTATTTAAACCACATTTCTTGATACTTTTTGAAGGTGTGCTTTACTTTAATTGTTTAGAGCCTTGGCTTTATACAAACAACACCCTTTAAGTTATGCAGCGTGAGTAACTTAAGTACAAAAATTTGGATACGAAAAAAACAACTCTTGGAAATAAGGTATCTTGTTATGTACTATCTAGATCGCTAATTTCCAAGATTTTTAAGAGGTCATAGATCCGCTCGATCTACACTTTTTTTTGTCTTTAAATTTTATAATTAGAGATGAAAATAAATTTTCAGCCAACAAAAAGATTTTTTATTCTAAAACTACTTGTATATGCCCCATTTGAAGCTGCGCCTTACTTTGATTGTTTAGGTCCTCAGCCTTATACAAACGACACCCTTCGGGTTTTCTCCTTTCTTTGTATGTGAATCACATTCCTCATCTACTTTTAGTGCTTTAGTGAAGACATCTCATTGACAAGTTAATCTCCTTGCTTAATACCTTGTTATGAACAAAGTGATAGTGTACATGGATTTACTTTATGCATGCATTCAGGATTAGATTTAATGCCAATATGACAAAGAAAGAGTTTATAGTAGAGTTGAGGCTCTAAACAATTAAATTAGAGCCCACCTAAAAAACTTCGCTAGAAGAGGTTGTTTTGATGCTCAAATATCCTCAAGATCTTCTCGATATCAAGATGCATGAACATGAGAGAAAAATGGATTTCAAGTTTTGGAAGTAGTGCATCTTGTAAGGCAATTTTGGATCATCAATTTTCAAGATTTTCATAGATTTGCACGATTTACACTTTTTTTGAAGCTTTAAATTTCATAATTAAAGATGAAATATATTTTAAAGCTATCACAAAGATTTTTAGTATTGAAATCGCATTTCTCAACGCTATTTGAAGATGCGCTTTACTTTGAATGTTTAGAGCCCCCACTCTATACAAAACCGCACCCAACAAGTATTGGTGTCACTGTGCATCGGGACAATGTAGTCTATGGCCACTCCAAACTTCTTGAGCAACCAAGTTAACGGCACACATCCGCATGTGGCCATCATAGCTGCTCTACATTAGGCTTAAATGCAGCATTCGGCTGCTTATTACTTGCCCACGAGACAATTTGCTATCCATTCATATATGGAAAAAGTTTATATTAAGGATGCTACCTTATAATGTATAACTATGGATGCCCCTCAAAAATCTATCGGAAAAGGTAGTTTTAATGTTGAAAAACCTTTTGATTGATCATCTCGATATCGAGATATATGACTATGAAAAATAAAAAGGTTTTACGTCTAAAAAATAGTGCATTTTACAACATATTATCTACATTGTTCATTTTCAAGATTATCATATGTTTATAGATCTACTTGATTTTAACCATTTTTAAAATTTAAAATTTTATAATTAGATATAAATATAGATTTTGAAATAATCCTAATAACATTTTACATCAAAACTATATACCATGACAAAATTTGAAGGTGCACCTTACCTCTACACCTACGGATGCATCCGTTTGCAAACTGCACCCCTTCATATATTGCGCTATGAGTTTTTGGGTCTCCTTCCCAATCAGCATTGCATTGACTTTCGGGCTTGACACACTCTCGCACTCATAGAAACACACCCTTACTGATGATTTTCTTCACATATCTCAAGGCTTATTGTTGTAGCATTTTTCTTCTCTTGTTCACTAATGTAAATAGTCCACCCATCATCAATATGATCAGAGGCAACTTTTTAAAACTCAGCCGAGGCCACTTGGACTCGGCCAAGTAACTCACGAGTTTTGGGCGAGTTAGGTGTACATCATTGTTTTTAGTTCAATTATCTTAATAGCTCAAATTTAAGTCAAATGTGTTATGAATTCTTTCTGGTTAGTATGATAGAATAAGTTTTAACCCCCCATTAAGCTGTCAGGGTTCGAATCCTACTCCGGGCTGGCCCGGTAAGGCCTGGCCCAAAATAAGTCCGGCATCAGCCCGGCCAAGTAAGCCCAGAAAATGTATAGAGGCCCGGGTCGGCACGGTAGGTTTGTGGCACTTTCCTTTTACCAAATTTTAATGCTAAGTTTCAAACAAACTAAACAAGAAAGAAAAAAAAGAAAAGGAAAAGATATAAAATTGGTGCTATGTTGAATAGAGTAAGTTTTTCAAGATATCAGCTGGACCAAAGTATGGAAGAATGATCCATATGTTATTGGTGAGGGTAACATGGAAATGATGGATTGGCTATATCTTCATGAAATTTAACTTTTACAGTATTTTCCATTCTTCTTACCTTTCTTAAAGGAAAAAAAACGTTCTGCTTGCTGATGTATGTTTTTTATTAATACTGTGGACCTACATCATTCCATGCCATGTCAAATGTGTGGACAGTGCAAATTAATATTCATGGAAGTATTTAATGGATAGGAGATGCTTGCTCTTAAATAATTTAGAGAGTTGTATAGAAAATATTTCTAATGAAGTGGCTTTCAACTGCATATTCACGAAATATGCTTTAGGATCAGAACATGATGTAAAATTATTTTTGAGCTCTGCATTCTCATCCCTGGACCCAATCTTTATAGATAAGAAAAATGAAAACATAGTTCAAGAAATATCATCAGTATTCAATTTCAATCAGCAATGATCAAGTGATGGTCGAAGATTACTTCTTGTATTAGCTACTTATATAACATGTATAAACAAAACTTTCATGTCCCTTTATGTAGCTAGCTGCATCTCAAGTTTAGGAGTTCCATTTATGTGTTTTCTCTCATCTATCTGCACCAAAAGAGAGAATTTTTAGAATTTGAGCATGTGTTTTCTTTCATCTATGTGCAGAGCCCATAATTCCCGAAAAAGTGTATAGAAGCTTTTGTTTTTGCCTTACTATACACATTAAAATTTTGAAGAGTGAAGCTTTTATTAAAACAAGAAAGAAAAAGCATGTTAAATGGGCTGGGTTGGGCCTTATTTGGGCCAAGACGAGATTAACGAGCTACCCAGGGACAGTCTGGCCTGCTGGATAAATTCCAGCTTTATCAAGCCCGGCCCCGCCATCCCGATAACAGCTTATATTCAAAATGGACCGGGCCCAGCTCGAGGCCCACTGGTGGGCCCTGCCCGGTAGCTCGCATGCAGGCCCAGTCCATTGGCAGCCCTACTTGAACTCAAGACCTCGTGCAACAAGGTCAGTGCGCTATTTTGCGATGCATGTGAAAAATATGGTGCTTATGATATATAACCATTATTTTATCTTCATTTTGTTTAAAAAAAAGAAGAGCTGGACTCAGGCGAGTTACTCGAATTCGCCAGAGTAAATCGCCTCGGCCAGGGACCGAGTAACTTGCCTCGGATAGGGCCTGAGTATCTTGGTCGAGTCGATTTTTTTAACACTGATCAGAGGTGTTGACAAGTCAAGATTCCGGGATAGTCCGAGCATATTTCATGCAGTTTGAGGAGTGGACATGCATCCAACTTTAGTAGGATGGGGACCTTCTAGTTGAATCTCTGATTGATTGGTGAGCACTACTAAGGTAGTGTCAACTGTCAACAGACGCTATCTCCCTCTTCGATGATCACCTTCTTTTCTTGGATCATCTTTTAGATAAAATATTTGACAGATCAACAATCTTCCGTTACGTCATGTAATCCATCCAGTTTTCAGGATTCCTGGTGCTTGAGAGTTCTAGTTACCTAATTGCAACAGTCGTTCAAATATCTTGGGAAGCAACTCATTGCTGAAGGAATACTTTTTGTTAAATCCTTCTTTTAAAGTAAGAACCTTTGCCTTTCCTTTTGTTTTGGGGAGGACGTCGTCCACCTCTAACTTATTTAGTCTTAGAAGAATCTTCTTGACTTTCAGAATCTTTCAGGTCCTCGTTAAAATTTAAGGCTTGTTGCTTGTTGATCCTTAGGATACCTTAACGACGATTCAGGATCTGTTTCTGGTTTGGGCATCGTATTAGAGAGGTCGAACCTAAATTAAGTATGCTCTGTTTATTTTGAATCCATGAGTTTGTCCATGTGAATATCAATGGGTGTAATGGAAGCAGACAGAATTCCTCGTGCATTTGCTTCCAAGATGTGATAGAACCTGGGGATAGATGGCATGTGAGGTATGAACCCCAGAGCGTCTCCACAAATTGGCTTAACAGTAGGTGTTTGTTCTTGGTTTTATCCCCACAAGCCTCTAGGAGGTGAGCGATACGCTAATGTGGAAACCCACTGCATTCAAACTTGGGGGAAAGTGTGTATCATAGGTGTTGTTGATAACGATTCTCGTAGGCCAAAGGCCATCTGACAAATGAAATTTATGAGCTCTTCAAACCATCCATTGTCATTCTTTAAACCATCTCATCTGTAATAGCTGCCTGATTGAAGCATACGGAGCATTACAAAGAAGAAGGTATATTAGATGGGTCATTTTGATGAAGAGCCCTAATCAAGGGAGGAAGGACTGTGGCCCTTCACCTTCAGAGGAATTGGGATTAGTGTCCCATGTTGCAAGCTTCATCTGAGCCAGTTTTGATTTCAATTTAGCATCTTTTAGGATAAAAGATTCCTTACTTCAGTGTATTGCTTCTCTAGAGTGGGTTTGTCCACACCCACCAGCATTGTGTTTGCAGTACTTTCCGTGGATGAGATGGGCTCCCCTCATTCCTCCTTGAAAGAGTGCTTCTAATGCGATTCTCATCGTTGCATGGAAAATGTTATTCATCCTTGAAAGAGTGCTTCTAATGCGATTCTCATCGTCGCATGGAAAATGTTATTCAGAGAAAGAAGACTCTGATTCCTGATCCTTGATAAAAAGGATTTTGGAGAAATATGAATCAAATCTAGACTTGAGCCTTTGCTACACTTGAGGTGGTGGACCCCAAGTTATGGTTTTTGCCACTTTAATGCATAGGGGTTTCCTCCCATGGACTCAGAATAATTCTCTTGTCGACAATGTTGATGAAGCATCTTTGATCAAGTGGAGATGGGTGGCATTTGCTGTTGCTCCTCTATTTGGCTGGGTTCCATGTCCACATCCTTCCTAGGTTTTCGTCTAAATCGTTCTCAGCTTTTTTAACTTGAATCAGTCATGATTTTGAGACAAAAATCTTGTGGTTAGCCGAAATGGGTAAATCCTACTATTAGCCAGTCAGTTTTTCGGTGCTTGACACACTGGTTTGGGATATGTTTTGGTACTTTTTTCACCAATTCCAGTGACGAGCAAGTGCCACCAGGTATACCACACATCGGCTACTTCTTTCAATGGCTGTCCTTTGCGAGTGAAAGAAGAAGGGTTTGCTGGCGGTAAAATGACACATGCACAGTTTTACCACAACGATTCACCAATTCCAGCGACGAGCAAGAAGTGTGGCCACCAGGTATACCACACATCGGCTACTTCTTTCAATGGCCGTCTTTTGCGACTGAAAGAAGAAGGGTTTGCTGGCGGTCTTTTGCGACTGAAAGAAGAAGGGTTTGCTGGCGGTAGAACGACACATGCACATTTTTACCAAAACGAAAATTGGGCCACAATGGTTAGCTCTATGCCAAGCATGGAAGCGTTGTTTCTTGGACCTAGCCATACTGCCCTGGGTGTATGACAGTCGCTGCCCATGCCTCATGCAAGGCTTGTGTTCAATAAGGCGAATTTGTTATTCCATAGGTAACATGGATAAACATCTTTTTGATGTCAGCTGATGATTTACATGTTCTGATTGGTGAGAAGTCCAGATGAGTTCGGTAAAAAGAATCTGATGCTCAACTCTTTGTTAAATTTCATGGGGAGAATCCCCAAGAAATTATTGTATTTTTCTCGGAAACATTTCCGAGCAAAGATCGCTTCCTGCTTTCTGGCCATGATCATGCCAGTTTGACCTACAAAAGGCTTCAAGATCATTCCAAATGAACCATCTTTCACGCTCCAACCCTGTATTTGATCATTGAGATTAGATTCAAGCTGATTCAAGAGATCAGCTCTCTTAAATGAGTGTACCCTGCATTTTTTTACCGTAGAACCCTATTGATTAATTAAAAAACTACCCAAAAAGGGATCTCATGTCTTTAAAGCAGTAAACATCTTGATTGCAAACACGTAGGAAAAACAAGAACAAGAACGTGCACATTATTCTCGCTGATAAAGCTTCTCATAATCCAATGCTGACTAGAAAATGGAGAAAGATGGAGAAGCAAAAATGGGTATCGTAGACATCTCTTTATTTTTACCCTTTTTTACTCTATGAAGCTCCAACTTTAGGGGCATTGACGGCTGGGATTTTGGCTAGGAAATGCTGGGCAACTATCCGCCGTTGGATCTTGCCGGTTGCAGTCTTCGGGAGAGAATCAGGATCAGTGATGAAGACCCTCTTTGGGATCTTGAAAGAGGCAAGGTTCTTTTTGCAAAACCTCAGCACCTCGGCCTCATCGATTGAAGACTCCTCTCTTGGAATCACAGCTGCGTTAATCTGGAGAATAAACAAACATCGATTCAAATATTGTCCTTGCATGCATGGTAATAACGGAGAAAACTTATTTTGTTACTTTTTTTTTCCAGAAAGTAATGGAGGAGAAAACTGATGGAGCAGAGTCTAATCTTTTCACCACCAAAATTGTATATGAAAAATTTTGGAAAAATAGCTAGAAATAAATGTGTTCTTGAATACACATAGGAGGAAACCAACAGAACTGTTCTTTTCTAGCAAACACAATCACTGTCAAGACCAGGACAAGATGATAAAATATTGTCACTTAAATGACCTGCTTCCTGTAAGTAAAAATAGGAGATTTCAAGCATCTCAATGAGCTCAAATAATGAACTTCTCTATGTTGAGAGGTAAATTTGAGCTGAAAACTAAACGCTCATTTTTTTATTTTATTTTTTTGGGAATCTTAAAATGCTAAAAAATTTTGAGTTGGAAACTGAGACTTTTGTGCTTTTCAAAGCAATTCCAGCCTTATTTTTCTTCAAAATGCAACCCCAACGTTCAAACCAGGAAATTTGTGTTTCAGAGAGAGAGAGAGAGAGAGAGAGAAGAGAGAGAGAGAGAGAGAGAGAGTCACCTCTTCGCCATATTTATCATCAGGAACTCCAAAAGCCACAGCCTGTGCTACATCAGGGTGCGACAGCAGAACTGCATCCACCTCAATTGGAGAAATCTTCTCACCTGATTCAAAATGCGCCCCATTATCAACATCATTAAAAAAAAAAACCCAGATAAACTGAATTCCTTCAAGACATTACACAATACTAATGGGAAAAGGCAATGGTAAAATTCAGCTGCACGCAACAAAATGAACATGCCGTTGAGAGAGAGAGAGAGAGAGAGAGAGAGAGAGAGAGAGAGGGAACCAATTAAGCCACCAACAGAGATATAGAGAGGACCCCTTAGAATTCATTTCAGTGAGGCAAACAACCACAAAGAAAATTAAAAAAAAATAAAAATAAAAACTCACCTCCCCTGTTAATAAGCTCCTTGATCCTCCCCACCAAATGCAAATACCCGTCTGCATCAAAATATCCCACATCCCCTGTATGAAACCACCCAAACTTAAAAGCTTCTCTGTTGGCCTCCTCATTATCCTTGTACCCTTTGGTCACATTCTCTCCCCTTATACAAACTTCCCCTTTCAAGCCCACCCCTAACACCACTCCATCCTCGCTCAAAACTGCCATCTCCAAACCAACCGGTTTTCCAACTGAACCCGGTTTTCTCTCTCCTCGACACGGTAAAAGGTTTGAAGCCATCAAGTGAGCTGCTTCAGTCATAGCGTAGGCTTCTAAAACTGGTGCGCCAAAAGCCTCTTCGAGTCGTGCAAAAACAATCGGCGCCAAAGCCGCACTGCAACTCCTCATAAACCTGTGGTAAAATGGCAAAATATAAATAATGGTCATTGAGGGTACAGTTTGTTGTGCTGATCTAATTTGAGGGAGAAACATGAAAGAATGGCAAAAGGAGGAGGAAAACTAAAATAACAGAAACATTACAAAGAAAAACAAGTGGCAACAGATTTCACAATGTTCTCTACTTTATTATTTAAAAAAACAGCCCCCTCTCCAAATAACAACCATCTTCGTTCTTCTCACTGTTTTGAATCTGAAACTCAAGAAGGTTAGGGCCTCTACAAAAAAGCATTGGTCATTTCTAACAGAAAATAGCAAGCAAAAGGATAATTGGGGAAAAGAAAAGCAGAGAACATAGTAAAATACAATCGCAACTACATATTTTTAAAAAGATGCTTCTGTCTCCTCCATTAGAAGTGCCTTACTTTAGACTAATAGCCATGATGAAATTGAGTTTCACAGTCATGATATTGTTATATAACAACAGCCACCATTTTGAAATTTGACCATTTACCTGAGTTTCGGATAAACAGGCTCTGGTGCCGCAAGGTGTCGGTCCAGGAGGATCTGATGAATTGTAGGCACTGCAGTGTACCATGTGCCACCATATGATTTCATGTCGACCCAAAATGTTGAAGCAGAGAACCGACCCAAAGCCGGCAAGATCACTGATCCCCCAGCTATAAGCGAGCCCAAGAGCGAGCACATCAAGCCATGTACATGGAACAAAGGGAGGACCACCACCGTCCGATCATCTCGGCTCAGATCATAGACACCTCGGATGTTCTCCACCGAAGCTGCCAAATTCCTTTGAGTGAGAGGAACACCTTTAGGTCGGCTCGTTGTTCCAGAGGTGTGGAGAAAGAGCGCCACGTCATCACCTTTGTTTTGAACCGAAGGGGCTGGGTTCGGGTTGGAGTTGAGTCCTGAGAAAGCAAGTCCATTTGAAGAGTCAGTGAGAGACTCAGTGTTGGCGAATGGTAAGTTGAGTTTTGAGGCAGCGGCTTCAGCAGATTTGTTTCCATCAAAGGGGAGGAGGAGGAGTTTGGCTTTGGAATCAGAGAGATAGAACTCAAATTCCTCGCTCGTGTAGGCCGAGTTTAGTGGTGCAGCTACAGTGCCAGCTTGTATCGCAGCCAAGAAGCATATGACAAACTACCAAAGGAAGAAAAAAGGTAGAACAAGTGCTATTAATTTGCTGAAATATTAAGGAAAATCTAAACAAAATTCAAATGCAAACGTAGTTTTTGAGAAGTCAGAGAAAAAAATATGGTGTTTTGCTGAAATTCTGGCAAGACCATTGTTCAAAAACTCAAACTCGAACTTAACTTGCCACTTTGAAATAGCTAACTCAAATGCCAAATCAAACAGTATTCATATGGCGATGCCATCACATTGGAAGAAACCACTAATCAGTCTAATCAATATAAGCTTTCGCTGTATAAAATTCGCATACTTGATGTGTGGACTAGTTCTAAGCAAAACACAATATAAATTTTGTTTCACATTCATATATAACTCAAGCAATATTTGAAATTGTCTCTACATACGTTCGAGTCGTACATTCTAATGTGTGTTGTGGTTTCATTAACATGGAAAAAAAGAAAAAAACCTAGGATATGCGCGTTCTATCAAGAATCAACCAGTTCTCACTAGAAACAACATATAATTAGATGATTTGAAATTGCTATTTTACGTGCAATTAACTCCCATTTAAGCCAAATTAAATTTTAAACATTGCACTGTCTTGCCTCCTAATTCTAGGAGGTCAAGGTCACTATGATTTAGATCCCAACGAAGCCACAAGATGAGGAGATCACCTCTATAAACATGAGATGGTCATGCGGCAAAGAATGAAATTCCTGCCAAAATTTGCACAAGGCAGCAGAAATTCGAATAGGGTGTTGGGTTCTTATTAAGGTGATTCAGTCCCAATTCTTAGTTAAATACTGATTTTAAAACATAAATGGCATTATGACGAAGACTAAATATCGTTCGGCAGAGTCAGGGGCAGTGTAATCCAAAAGTTTCAATGAAATTTTAAAGAAAACAGTTGAAATTCGGAATTCAAGTTTGGTGAAATTTTGAGCAAGGAAATCATAGTTCGAAATCCAGAATTGTGTTTCAGCCAAAATCTTAGAATTAATTTTCATAATTAGATTTCAAATTTGTTGGGAGTTTTTAATTAACTAAAATTTCAATCTTTATCCGAATTTCACAACGAATTTGAAATTCCCTGTTTCTGCTAGAAAGCTCAGAAAATAATATAATATTAGTTCGCATCCATTTTTCTCCATCAAAGGGCTAAAAAACTGCAAATAAAAGTTAAACTAAACTGAAAAAATATAATCTCAGAAACGAAAAGCTCACCTCGACTGTGTTAGGAAAAGTAAGGGCAACAACGTCGCCATGTTTTACACCGGAATCCTCCAAAATTACGGCTACTTCATTAACGAGCTCCTGTAACCTTCCATGACTGATCTCAAACTTCCCTGAAACTATCAGAGCTGTCCGATCATGATTCTCAACGGCAGATTTCTTCAACAACCCGGTGAGTGTTCGGTCTCCATGGCTCTGTGATGAAAGCTTCGAAACACACTCCTCCGTCATTAATGGAAAATATGAAACAAACAGGAATAAAAAATAATTAACTTATATTTTTTAAAATGGAAATCGGAAAAGTCTGCGGGATTTTATAGGCCAAGAGCGGGGCATACTTCGGATAAGGGGGAAACGTGGCAAAATCGTGGCCCACGATTGGCCCCCTTTTTTGAACGGTCGTTTGGGATGGTCAAGGCGATGGGTGGCGCCACGTAGATGATCATCTAGAGACCTCCTTATGAGGTTCGTCTACATACACATCATTCAACTCTTTAAGAAAAATTTTGCTTTTATAGAATTTTGTATCTACTTAATGTCACTCTTTTAAATTTAAGGGACAACACTGATTTGTAACCTTATTATACAAAAGAAATGTTTCTATATTTCCCCTCCAGATTTATGCTCCCCTTATCGTCTCCAATTTTGATCAAATCAAGAGAATGATGTATTATTTGATTTTCGATCCGATGTCTCAATGTATTTTTTGTTTTTAATTTTTTTTATACAAATTGTATGAATATGAAATTTAGTACGTGTCATCTTCTCATTGAGACGTACCTATAAAAATATTTAAAATAGTTTTTCCATAAAAATATAATAACCAAACTACCTTTTGAAACTTTTAAGGGTATTTTAGTTATTTTATTTTATTAAAATTATTTTTTAATATTTTTTGCTAGTGCGAGTTTAATAAAAGATTGGACGTCTAAAAATTGGTGTCAAAATAGTTTATATAAAAAATAATAATAATAAAATATTGTAGAGATGTGACATTGTGATTGGGTCAATCTTAGCCCTCCATTCAGCATGGAAGGTTGGATAAGGGGAAGTATATAAATTTTATGCTGTAGGAAAAACATAGAAGCTTGCCTTTATGTAAAAGGTAAATAGTCTATTTGTAAACCACCTATTTGTTTTGTTTATCTTGTGGAGAAGAGTTGAAAATGACGAAACTATCCACAACAGTTTTACCTATGGCTAGTCTGGTCGAGACCATCAAAATAAGCATAGATGGACGAGTCGCCTCAACTTGGTGTTCGTAAAATTGAACTGGAACCGTTAACTGGATATGGGGCCGGAAGCAGTTTAACTGGTCTAATTGGTCGATTCAACTGTTCTAACAGGACAAATCCCAAGGCGGTCAAAAAATTCCTTATTTTCGAGATGTTATATATTATTTATTTATTTATTTTTTAGATTTTATATACTTTTTTTTTAAAATACCGATCGATCACCAAAATCGCCATAAACCAGAATGGGCCAGTGGTAAGTTACGATCTAATTGGGCGGTTACTGATTAGATCGCCCACTTTTTCCAACATGGCCTTGACTAGAGTTCTCAAACTTCAATCGGGGTTCGGTCGACGAGTGAATTATTTTTTTCTATATTTTTGGAAATTGTCGATAAAGTTATATCAACTGGACGTAGGGGGGCCGCACATCTACAACTAAGTCAGCTCACTCACTAAACACTTCTCCTTTAATTTTGTTTAATTTAGTCACATCCCCAAAATCTACGATCCTAAAAGTAGGAATCAAAATAATTCAGCTAGAGAAAAATGGCACTTCGAAATCGTGCCATTTTCATCGAGATATAACGAAGTTATTGGTCCAGCTATGTATAATTGGTAAATAATTCAGCTATAGAAATTTGGCACTTCGAAGTCGTGTCATCAATGTATTTACATGAACACGATTCATGCCAAAAAGTAGATTCCCAAAAGTGTCCTAGAAAAATGGTATCATAAGTGAAGAAGGGAGCATTTATTTGTTGGGTTGGTTAGGCATAGGTCAGTGTCATTAGTTTTTCAAGTTCAGGTTCAGGTTGTTATAACCGATACCACGCATGCAAAAGGTGTCGGACCGATTCGGAGTAGAGATTGGGTCGGGGTCTATTGACCAGACCACAATTGGTGTGCATCGGGCAGGGTCTAAATCAATTTGTATGGCACCATGAGAAGGTTTATAGATGGTTTGGTTGAGTTGGGTCCGAGCAGAGTTACATAGCACTACAAAATCATTTACCTATATAAGGTCGCACTTTTAGCATTTTGGTTCAAGGGTGGAAACGGGTCAGGCCAACCTTGGGTCTTGCCCGGTACTTGTCCGCATAGGGCTGGCCCAAGCTCTATTAGGGCTAGGCTAGACCAGGCCGCACCAATGTTGGCCTTTGGCCCAAGCCAAACAACCATGATACTCCTAATTGTCGAGAGTTGACAACATCAAACTATTATTATCATCATCATTATAGCTTTTTTCCAATTAATGGAGGTCGACCACACGAATCTTGCAATGTCATTCTGTTTTATTAAAGGTCATACCCACAATGAGGCAATAAGTCTCCATATCTTCTCGAACTACTTCTAACTGCATCCTTTCGGGCTTACCCATTGTCATTTTAAGTTCTTCCACTTGGACTAACTCACAACTCCTAAAATGTGTTGTACTTGGTTAGAGCCACACATGGTCAGCACACCTAAGTCTACTCTCTCTCATCTTATCGCCTATTGGTATCATACTTAAATTTTGTTGAAATGATTCATTTCGAATTTTATTCTTTCTTGTTTTGCCACTCATCCATCTCAACATCTTCATCACCGCTATACTCATTCTATTCGTATGTTGTTTCTATCCACCTAACCTTCTATCTTATAGAGCAAAGCTGGTCTCACAACTGTCATGTAGAACTTGCCCATCAACTTCATTGATATGTTGTGATCATATAAAATTCTAGTTGCATATCTCTTCTTCGTCCACCCAACTCTAATTCTGTGTGCAACATCTTCCTCAATTTCTCTATTTTACTGGATTATCGATCCAATATATTGAAAGTGTAGTATTTTTTGTACTTCTTAACCATTTATCTGAACTACTTCCTCGTCCTTACTCTTATTATTACTAAACTTGTATTTCATATACTCTGTCTTAGTCCAGGTAAGTTTAAAACCTTTGGATTCTAGAGCATCTCTCGACAGTTCTAACTTTGTGTTGACGTTATTTCGGGTCTCATCGATCAAAACCATGTTATCTGCAAACAATATGCGCCACAGTACCTCATCATGCAGGAAATTAGATAAGTCGTCCATAACTAAGATAAAAAGGTACATGCTCAATGTTGATCCTTGATGTAGACCTATTGCCATTGAAAATTACTCGTCTCTCCACTAGTTATTTGTACACTAGTTAACGCTCCATCGTACATATCTCTCACCAAGTCAATATAATGTCTGGAGACTCCTTTCTTTTTCAACACCCCACCAAATCACAACATAAAACTACCAAATTATGATAGTACTCTTGATTGTTATGCGTTTGCAATATTCTTGCTATAAAATCCTGTTTCATGTGGCTAACTCTAAATAATCATTGGTATTTTTATCATTTGACTCAAGCCACTAAATGGTGCCAAATTAGGAAAATGCACTTATTTGTATAAGGTTCCTAATATTGAACAAGGACAATTTAATCATTTTGTAACATAGTTGGTGTTGGTGAAACCGGGGTTGTAAAAATTCAAATTGTTGGAGGTTTTTGAAAATAAATTGAAGAGTGATCTTCATGTTTTCATGCACATCAACATATAATTTCAGGACGATATTGCTTCCAATCAATGACAATCAGTGAGCACAAGGTTCTTTGGGCAAAATTGTTCTCAAACTACCTGAAAACAGAATATCGTACAGTTATTTTGCATATTTAGCACCTAGAAATGGCAAGGTCTCATAGCATACGTGGTCTATGCTTTTCCTGTATGTATAATCCATACCTAACCTAGACCCAACCCTACCCAATTATCACATCTATGATATTGCTCCACAGTTACATTCTTTCAATATCCTCCAAAACTTGGTTTCTAAAAGGAAACTAGTTGGTAAATAAAGCAGTGTTCAAAACCACTATTCGGGCGAGAACTCGGCCCATGCCCAACCTGAGTACACAACCCGAGTTCGGGCAATGCAGCCCAAGTAGGGCCACATACCGTAGCAGCAAAAAAAAGTCAAAAAATACAAAAATATTAAAAATCCAAAAAATAAATAACAAATGTATGTTTAAAGTAAGATTAAGAAAAACATATCAATTTAAAGTAAGATTAAGAAAAACATATCAAAATAAGGTTAAAAGTAGTAAAAATATAGATTTTAAAAACTCAATTTCTGGCTGAGGGTATTTTTGAAATAAGTTTAAAAAGATGGAAAGATTTAAAACTAAGTATTCCAATTTTTGTCAAAATGATAGAAAATAATTTAAAAAAAAAAAAAAACAAATGTATTTCGTGTTTTATAAATTATTTATAATTTATAATTTTTGTTTTAATATTCCCGACTTAAACCGAGTAGTCAAAACACAAAGCAATTTAGGGTATAGTCGCCGAAGCCCTGGGTCAGGTCATACAAGGAATTTGTTATTTTCAGTGGCTATTTTTTGTGATAAAATACCACATAGTAACGTGGCATTGTCTGTTTCTTAGTTGTTCATGTGGAAAACCAGCTACTACTTCATTTTAAATGGATATTTTATCTAGAAAATAATTAAAAACAAAAGTGGCATTTATATTTTTTTATAGGTCATTAAATTGAATAAGAGCAACTAGTTTATTTTAAATGATTTTTTTCTGAAAACTAGTGAAAAAACAAACGTGGCATTTGAATTTTTTATAGTTTATTTATTATGAAAAAGAAGCCAATGATTGGTTTGAACTTATATAATGCAATAGTAGTTTCTTTTTTTAACAATTCCTTCTTCTTTTTTTACTACAATGGATATAGCATATTTTAACTTTTATTATTTATTATGGAATAAACCGGGAACATCTGTTGTAATGCTACAAGGCTAATAGAGACAGGGCAGTGCGGAGATGTAGTGCCAAAATTATTAATTAATGGGTGTGGGTTTTATATAGAACTTTATTTTTAATATTGATGTACTTTGAAATCCACGTTAAGATGGATTTGGTGCGAAAAACATGTACGAGCGGTTACACATTTAAAAAAGAATAAAACTTGTATTGTGCCTGAGTTAAGGGTGGATAAGTGTCATAAAAATAAATAAAAACTCTAATTTTATAGAGATTGTCCGAGACATTCACACATTTAAGAGAAAGGAGATATGTATACACTACATTATTAAAGGGAGAGAGAGTACATAAGAGGGAGCAAGATATGAAAAGACAGGGAAAGGAGAGAGAGAGAGAGAAAGGGGTGCAAGGTAGATAAAGGAAGTTTCAATTTTTTTGCAATAAAATCATGATAGAGATATTTACCATATCGAGAATAAGTGAGTGGGAGGGAGATATGGAAAGAGAGAGAAAGAAGTGTTATGGATGAGAGAAATGGGTGCGTAGTAGAGAGATGAAGTTTTTTTTTTATATAATAAAATCATGAGAGAGATACTTATTATTGTTGAAAATCTTGAGAGAAGAGATGGATCGACTCCCAAAGTCCTGAGACTAGCGACCGTAGAGATCAATCTTTTATCAGAACTGTGAAAATTCTGTAAATTTCTGTGTACCTCTCCATGGCATTAAAACCTCTCTTGAAGAATAGAAGACACCGTTTTCCAACATTCGGTTTCCTCTTGAAATTTAACAAAAAAACGTGGCCCTGTAATCTTGGAAAGTGGGTGGTTACTTTTTAGCCGTTATCTAGTGGGTGGTTACTTTCTAGCCGTTAGATAACGGTACTTTCTCTCTCTAAGAAATCTCACTATTTTAGTGATAAACATTAAATTATAAAAGAAGAAAAATTACACATTTAAAGCCCCCTACACACATTTAAAGGCAGTCGAGCTTGGCACCCTCGCGAGCCTGAATTACTTTGATCCCACTCGGGGATACTAAAAAATTTCACAAAAATTATAAAATATTTCACAAAATAAAGAAATTTTTTGTGATTTTTTTTTTGTATTCTCTATCATTTTGGTAAAGATTTAGAAAGTGTTTTTGTCCGTAAATACTTATTTTCACATTTTCCATTTTTTTTAGATTATTTTGAAAATATCCTATGTCAAAAGTTGAATTTTTAAAATATATATTTTTCTTAATCTTACTTTAAACATACATTTCGTATTTTTTATTTTTTACAATATTTTAACCTTTTTTTTTTTTTTTGTCTACCAACTCGGGCATGGAGCGAATACTCGGGCCAAGTTGACCTCTCTCTCTCTCATCTACCTATTTGTTTCTCTCTATTGTCATCCAAAGTTGGCAGCGCACCTTCCTCTTGCTCATCCAAAGCTATAGTAACGTCACTCTTTCTCATCCTGCATTTTCTCGGTCCTCGATTACATAATATGGTGGGCTGATTCTTACGATCCTTGCCTAAAAGGAATAGGGAGAACATTTGCTTTGCCAAAGGGCGAACCAGAGAAATGTCCACCCTCCCCCATTTTGCGGGCTTTATTAGTTTTTGCTTCACTCAAAATTTTACAGCACAAATAACTTCTTTACAGGAAAAGAACTGAAAATACTTTTTAGTAAAGAGGAAATGCTGTAAAAGAACTGAAAATACTTTTTACTAAAGAGGAAATGCAGTAAATACAGCCTATCCTTTCTAAAAATATGGGTAAGAGCTCGATGCCCTAGAATGATTCACTATACAAACACTTTAAAATGGGAAAAAAAATGAAGTTTTGATAAACCTAAAGAGCAGACTGACAATGAAATGGATGGCTTGAGTCGAATATACTATCTATAACAATGTTGTCAGCTTAGTTTCGAGGTCATCTTCGATTTGATGAAAAAATATGAAACAATTCGGTACTTTGGACAATTCGGAGGTAGATTTCAGAATTTTTAAATTTTTTATATAAATAAATTAGATATTATATATATAATATATAAATTTAATAGAAAAATTTTAAAATAAAAATTTCAAAAAAAATAAAAACTACTTTTATGTAGATATTCCTTTGCTTCAGCCTAATCGACCCGAATTTGACCGAAACGGCAGCACCAAACTTTGTTTCTCTTCGTTCT